GAGTGATCTTATTTTTGGTCCTCAGAGTCCATCCAGCAGAGCTGTCGTCCTCCTCACAGCTCAGAGACACAAAGTCTCCTTTAAAGAACTGAGAGCTGCTGGGACTCACAGTCAGACGAGCTGTGAGGGTTAAAAAGAAAAATGATGATCTGTTAGACTTCATTTGGTAAATGGACTGGTTCTTATATAGCGCTTTTCTACTTTTTCTACTCTTCTGAGCACTCAAAGCGCTTTATACAACTTGTGCATTCACACCCATTCACACAAGCACATTTTTCCTAGGTGCTTTCTAACTGACATTCACACACATTCATACTCCGATGGACGCATCGGAGAGCAATTTTGGGGTTAGTATCTTGCCCAAGGATATTTGGCATGCAGACTAGGGGAAGCCAGGAATCGAACCACCAACCTTCCGATCAGTAGATGACCTGCTCTACCACCTGAGCTACAGCCACCCCAGCATAATTAATTTTATTTCTGAGATTTTACATCTTTTATAAGTCTATCCATCCATCCTCTTCTGCGTATCCAGGGCTGGGTCGCAGAGGCAGCAGCCTAAGCAGAGAAGCCCAAACCTGGGTCTGCCCCGGGGCCTGTTCCCTCTGGGACATGCCCGGGACACCTCACCCAGAAGCATCCCTGTCAGTGTGGATGCTTCAAGTGTGACAACACCTTGAGGTGTTATATTAACATATTAAGCACATGAAGTTTGCGTTGACAAACAGGAACCCAATCAGGTCATATCAGTGAGCATTTCTCAGGTTTAAACTGTGACAGAAGAAGGTTACTGACCTTGGTTTGTTGTGCAGCTCAGCAGTGAGATCAGAACTAAAGAGAAATGACACTCAGGTTGATTTGAGGTGAACATAAAGAACAACTCCAACAGCACTCTCTGCCAGTTGAGTGTATTTTAAACATTTTTTTCCTTTATAAATGATTAATCCTCACACCATATATTGACTTAAATTTAATTCAGTTGAATTTTATTTTGTTTAAAATGCCAAATCACAACAACGGTAGGCTGAAAGTTCTTTGCTGAGAAACCCCTCAAATCAGACAACTCCTCACAACTGCGCAATTTGGATACACTGGAAGAAAAAAAAACTTAAATAAGGAAAATGGAGAGAACTAGGATCTGGGAGTTGTGGAAATGAAGACAAAATAAAGGAAATGGCATAAAACAGATGTTTAATATGTCTCAATTCGGGGGGTGTATCTTCCTGAGGACCCAGACTTTGCGGTCTACATGGACCAGGTCCTTTGAAATGGGACAGCCTAGCCTTTAGATATGCATCACTACTGTCTTGGTGGAGTTTAATGAACTCGGCTGTCTGCTCGTTGCTATCTAAAATATAACAGGACACTGGAGTATATTCTCGAGCATCTCACACTTCTGTTTAATATGTTTTCTGTTTGATGGTTATTCAGCTGTGTGAAAACTAGAACTTTAATCTCAGCCAAATTACTCGGGAACAAATAAAACACTGAAAAAAGCCAAACAATAACATTTGTAAGTTATCTAAGTGGCTTATATATCATGTTTAACCTGAGTAGAGAAAGACTGCGAGGATCTGAAAATGATGTGCCGGGAGTCCAGTGTTCTCACCGGCTCTAGTGAGCCTTGACTTTCCAGCTAGCTTTCTAGCTATTGAGCTGGCGGGTAAAGACGTCTCCGAAAAAGTCGGAGTACTTTTGCAAATATGTGATGTCTTGATAAACCAAGCAGATATTTAAAGTTTACATAGCTGCATTCTCACCTGAAAATATGTTAAAAGTTTGTTTTGTGACCCAGAAAGATTAGTATTTCAAACTCTTTTGCCTATGCCATTGCTGCATTTGAAAAGTATTTTTATATCATTATAAAAATATTATAAATACTACTTCAATTAATAAAGTGTTGAAAAGAGAAATACTAGTAATATTAAAACTAAGTAGCTGCCACCATTGTTGGGAACTGGAATTGGGTGGGCCGCACTATGAATTCTGGGATAGGCTGGTCCACGAAGGATAAACCTGACCCATCTTTCAAATCCGAGGAAATGAAGGATGCATTTGCATTATTTGTTTGTAGTAAATATTATTCTTTAGTTTTTTGTAACAAAACTTTTCAACTCCTCTGACTCCCTAGCAGCGCTGGGTCATAACAGAGACAAATCAATGTTTCAATAAAGTTTGATTACAAAACGCATAACAAAAATCATAACCTAATAATAATAATATTATTAATTATTATTAATAATTTATAACCATTATAATAATAATGATTATGATTATTATTAATAATAATAATCATAACCTTCCAGTTTTCCCAGGGTGTGTAAAGGTCATCCATCCATCACAGGCTAACATTGACACCTACAGCTGGTTTAGAATCACCAGTTAACCAAACATGTCTCATGTGTATATTTAACTCCTAATTTTGAATCAGTCCTTATCCTGATCTGCTTCATGCTGTGTGCTCTCCTGTCTGTCAGTTAATCCATGTTTGTTTGGTTTTTTCCAGTCAGTTTGCTTCCTCTGCCTTATATTTTGTTTATACTTGACAGTTTCCACCTAATAAAGCTGTCTGCTGAGTCCACGCTCTGCATGCATCACACACTAACCACAGCACCTCTCTGACTCTCTGTGCTTTTAGGTCTAATTTTAAAATCTTTTTATATTGTTTTGGAGGAACTTTGTGACTGACAAACATGTTTACGCAGTTTGGGCTCAGCGTTTACCTCTGTTATTATGTTTACAACAAATATACAAAGGATATCCTCTACAGCGTTTCCTCGACTCCTGAGCAAAGATAAAGAGTCAGTTCAGACCTGCAGTTGGTCCTCGTGG